TTATGACCAACCTAGACAGCATATTAAAAAGCAGAGACATTACTTTGTCAACAAAGGTCTGTCTAGTCAAGACTATGGTTTTTCTAGTGGTCATGTATGGATGTGAGAGTTGGACTATAAAGAAAGCTGAGCGCCTAAGAATTGATGCTTTTGAACTGTGGTGTTGGAGAAGACTCTTGAGAGTCCCTTGGACTGCAAGGAGATCCAACCAGTCCATCCTAAAGGANNGGACACGACTGAGCGACTTCACTTTCACTTTTCACTTTCATGCATTGGAGAAGGAAATGGCAACCCACTCCAGTGTTCTTGCCTGGAGAGTCTCAGGGATGGGAGCCTGGTGGGCTACCATCTATGGGGTAACACAGAGTCGGACACGACTGACGTGACTTAGCAGCAGCAGACTTTTTGATGATAGCCTTTCTAATCATTGAGGTGATAACCTCATTGTGGTTTTGATTTGCACTTCTATAATAATTAGTGATGTTGCATGTCTTTTGTCTGCCATTTCCAAAGGCCCTACCTTCAAGTTGAGGGTGAATTTTAGAGAACAGACATCAGTGTATAGCACAAACCAAGCCATCTAGCCCCTTTGATAGGTCTAGGGCCTGGATGTCTAGCTCCTTAGTCTGTAGTTAGACTGATGTATCAATATGTAAGTCCTATCCTTCTGATTCAAGCACTTTAGGGACTCTCATTTCCTGCAAAACAAAGCCCAAGCTCCATAGCCTGTATCAGCGGTCCCCAACCTCAATGGCACCAGAGACTGGTTTCGTGGAAGACAATTTTTCCAAGGACTGTGGGGCGATGGGTTTGGAGATGGTTTCAGGATGATTCAAGTACATTTATTGTGCACTTTATTTCAATTATTATTACTCTGTGATATATAATGAAATATTTATGTAACTCACCATAAGACATAATCAGTGGGAGCCCTGAGCTTATTTTCCTTCAACTTGATAGTTGAGCTCAGGCAGTAATATTAGTGATGGGAAGCAACTATAAAAATACAGGTGATGCTTCCCTTGCTCACCTGCTACTCATCTCCTGCTTTGCTGCCTGCTTCCTGACAGGCTGTGAACAGGTGGTCCATGGCATGGGAGTTGGGGACCCCTGGTCTATATGAATTAATCTACAACTCACTTGTGCAGTTTCATCTCCCACCACCCTGGCCTCATGGTCCAAAGACTGAAATATAGTTTTTCCATGATACATCTTGCTGCTTCACATGGGTTGTGCCTAAAACATTTTTGTCTGCTTCATCTAAAAACAAGACTTTGTCTTGAAAGCCTTCATCCAGTCCCCACAGTTGGGCTTTGAGTATCTCCACTGGTCACTCATACATTTCAATTGGCATCTTCAACATAGCATTGACCACCTTTAGTGAGTCAATTTATTTTGTGCTGAGCTCCTGGGTGTGCACATGGGTAGAGATTAGGAGCCTAATGCAGATTTATTGCATAAATCAGGTATTCCTTTGGGATTGTTTGGGTTAAGAGATTTCTTCACCTCTTCCTCCTGCTGTTAGATTTTCCTGAGATGTTTCTTATGGACAGTTCTTTTTATGAACTAGAAAATATTTCCATGATGTAAACTAAGGCTTGCTTAGTAGCATAGACCATTTAGGCTTACATGAGAATTTCAGTGCTTGATGTGCTGCTGTTTGAACTGACCCATTCTTAGTTGATTCTTTTTACCCCCAAATTACTATATTCTATGAATAATTCAGAGAACTTCCTTTTGAGAACAAGATCTTCTCTGTCTTGTCCATCTCCTGATTCCCTTACGTAAAACTATACCTGGCCTTTAGTAGGTGAATGGATGAATACTGTTTGTTTCTATCTAGAAAAGTGTATCTATTTTCTTGGAAGTTGTTTAATGATGCCCTACTCTGTTTCCTGACACCTAGGGCTGAAGAGAACAATGTTTTAACATTCCATAGGAATGTCTAATCTCACAATATCTTAAAAAATTCTGTGGTCAATGAGGTATTACATCTACAACCTTATGTGTGAGAACACTCTTCAGAGTGTATTAGAATTGCTGTATAAGACTTTATTTAGAGAAAACTTAAAAAACCCTCTTGCCCAGAAATTCAGCTTTTGCAAGGCATATAGCATGTGATGACCATGAGAGTGTTTGGAACTTGCTAGTGAATTCTGTGGAGAAGACAATGGCACCCCACTCCAGTACTCTTGCCTGGAAAATCCCATGGACGGAGGAGCCTGGTAGGCTGCAGTCCATAGGGTTGCAAAGAGTCGGACATGACTGAGCAACTTCACTTTCACTTTTCACTTTCATGCATTGGAGAAGGCAGTGGCAACCCACTCCAGTGTTCTTGCCTGGAGAATCCCAGGGACGGGGGAGCCTGGTGGGCTGCCGTCTATGGGGTCACACACAGTCGGATACGACTGAAGCGACTTAGCAGCAGCAGCAGTGAATTCTGTAAATGATGGAGTAGACTTAATCTTGTCTGTGAGAAAGAAAGAAATCACCCTTTTCCTGGTGAGTTAGTACTTGTCCACCCATTCAATTCTATTGAGTAAATTGTATCTATTAAAGCCCTAAAGTAGCTCATCCTAGCGGTAACAGCAGAATTAATAGAACTGACTTGAATGTGTGCTAGGCCTCTTTTCTTTACCCACCAAGATTGACTTAATACAGTACAATGCATTATTCAGACACTGACCATTTTCTCTAATGAATGTATTTTAGAAAGGTTACAATAAGAAATTGTATTATGCCTAAAGGTAAACACTTGAAGGGCAGCCTTGAGTATTTATGCAAGTCAGCCCTGCTCCGTTCCAGAGAGCCTCGTTCCAATAGGCTGCCGTATAAGTGGCGCCTCGTAGAAGCACGGGGTGCAACATTTACTGGCCTTAAAAAATAATCCTCTTCAAAAGGGTTACTGTAGGCAATTAGGTGTCCTACCTAACACAGAATGAGCAAAAACCAAAACAGTGTGGACACCCAAACCTTTTAGAGAAATTTGAAGATTGAAAAAAACCTTCTCAATGCTTATTTGTATTTTTTGAAAGGTGTTAATTACCTAGTATTATATGTGTAAGAGAAACTGAAATTGAAATGCACACTCTACCAGAGCCAAAGGTGACAAGAAGGGAGTAATTAACATTGATAATACACATTGCCCTAGGAATCTAAAAGTGAAAAATTAATTTTCTAGCAAGTCAGTTGGAAGTTTTTAATAAGCCAGTTGGTCATTAAAATGACTCTGGTGTTGCCTATGAAACATAAAAGATTACCTGAAATAATCCCAACTGACTTGATACCAAGGTCTGGTATGGAAAGAAGACAGCAGTCTAGTATTTAGTTACTGTTATATATCTAAGCCTATGTCTGAATTTTATAGGAAGGGAAGCATGTCATTTGGTGAAACTGAAGGATTGGCTTAGTTGTAATAATTAAGGATAGAGTGTTATTCCTAAATTTATAGCAAGCACATGATAAAGCAGAACTTTTAAATTATAGGTTTGGATGAGATGTGGAACAAAAGACCTACATTGGCCTCTGCAACAACTGGCATAACAATGTGATAATTATAAACTGCACTTTAGCCCTCACAGCCTCAAGTGTAATTTAATGAATAGATTAACAAGGAGCAAAAAAGAAAGGGACTAACACTTACAAAGTGCCACGCACTATGCTGAATATGTAACTATTACTGATTCATTTATTTCTCATAATCACCCTGGGAAGTAGAGCTTGCCGTATTTTACATGCTGAATTTCTACAAGATAATAAATGTTCACAGTCACCCGGTTAGAACATCCAAGTTAGCTCTGTCTCAAGTATTGTACTGTTTCTACTATAATAGGATGACTCTCAGATACAGAATATAGGTATACAAACAGGAATATTTTTAAGAAAAAGCAATTATGATAGCTAGTTAAGGGACTCTAATTAGAAGCAACAGATGCTACCCAACCAATCAAATATTATTTGCTGTGGTTGATAGTGATCTAAAGGGAGGCACCCTACTCAGTTTTAAACTCTTTTGATACTGCCTAATGTAAAAATTATTCTTTCATTGTTTTGCTCAATTCACTTTAAGAAGTGACCTCTAGAAGTGCCTTGTATTTGCCATGATGACAGCTCTATAAATGTCGCAGTTACTTGAGACACTCCAGAAGTGGTTTTGAGAAATAGACACAGGTATAGACATGGAAATTGAAAAATGTCAAAGTAAGATTTGGAAACATCAACTAGAGAAATCATATATTATAAATAATGGGGAGCCTGAGATACTTTAGCTGTAGTTAAAAACATTTATTTCAAGAAAATTATATTTAGTTAATACTGTCCATATTTCATACTATGCAAAGACAGTAGTGATCTGCATAATAAAATAAAAATTAATGTTAAATTGCATAAGTTAACTAACTTTCCTATGTGGATTTTCATGAATTAAATAATGATGACAAAAGCTAATAGGGCTCAATCATTAAGCACTTACTGCATGCCATCCACACTGTATTTAATCTTTGCAACAAGTCTGTGAAGGGCTTCCCAGGTGGCGCTAGTGAACTCCCCTGCCAGTGCAGGAGATGTAAGGGACACAGGATGGATCCCTGGGTTGGAAAGATCTCCTGGAGGAGGAAATGGCAACCCACTCCAGTATTCTTGCCTGGAGAATCCCACGGACAGAGGAGCCTGGTGGGCTGTGGTCCATAGGGTCACAAAGAGTTGGACACGACTGAAGTGACTTAGCACAGAGCACAATGTGAAGTAGGCATTTTAATCTCTGCATTAAGAGCTGAGCTTAATGAAATTAGAAAAATTGCTCAGAGTTACATAAGTTAACAGAGTGTAATGTAAGTATTCAGCCTATGTATAGAGATGGCCAAAGCCCATGACTTTTACCTACTACTCTATACTGTTTATTATTGATATTATTTTTCAGAACAGGATTTATTTTTTTTCTTTAAATGAGGAGCTAATCTTTGGAAGCCTCTTCCTATTACTGTCTTTTTTTGTTGTTACAGGGAACCAAAGTCCTGCAGATGTTCATGTGGTACCTGAATCCACGGCAAGTCTTTGACCTTTCTCAGGAAGGACCGAAAGATGCGTAAGTCTGGAAATACCCTCCGTGGTTCATACTGTTTTAGTCGAGTGAGAAGATCTTTCTGTTTGGGGGTCCTGCTTTATTATTTGATTACATCATGAAGTATTTTCTGTCTTTCATCTACTTGCTCACCTCTACTACTCTCCCTCTAAAACTTCACCTGATGTTTCCCCTCTTCACTGGCTAAGTTTTATTCACTGCATATCCAGTGAGTTATTAACTCCTCATGTGTTTGTTGCTTAGACACATGTAACTGTAGATAAGGAGCAAGTCTGAATTGAGAAGGATCCATCCTTTTTCTACTTCTGCATGTACGGCTTTGGAGATGTACCTTAACAGAAACAAGTGTGTCTTTGTGGAGAATGGCCATGATCTGTTTATGAATGTGTTTGTTTATTTGATTTAGAGATTGAGTGTATGTGCATCCATGACCACTTGTGAAGTGAAGGAATTGATTATACCTGTAGATTCTGTAGCAGAGTGGGGGAGACAGTCTAGTTTGTGTTTAATCCCTTATTTGAGCCTCTCAGAAATTTCATTCTCTATTTTTTGTTGAAAGGGGTGAAAAATAAAGTCTGGTTGTAGGTGACATGTATCTTATATCTTCCTTTTGGTGGAAAGGTGTATGGTATGGAAGAGGCAGGGACATTTCTGCTGTTGTCTGGTTCCCTTTTTAAACCCATCTGATAAGATAGTTCAGATTTCATCTGTTAAACCTTAGAGCTAAAGAGATACTAACTACTTTTCAATAAGTAGTATCAGAGGCAAAGAGGTACTCAGATAATTTCTGAGAATTTATCAGATAATTTCTAGAAAAATAATATTCCTCTATGAAATGGATAAATTACATATTTTAAGCATGCAAGAGAACATTAATTATGAAAATTAATTTCTGTTGTCATTCTTCTAATCGATGAACTTCTTTGCCACTAGAGTTTGCTATAAGACTTCTATTTTTTTCCTGCATTCAGATGTATTAAGGCAAATCTACTATCCTGGGTTTTGTTCTTTTATGTTTACTTTCCTTACAATTTTATCATTTTCAGTTAGACTTTAGGTAGATAACTTCATAGATCACAGTGAAGAATATGGCAGGACAGGAACTGTTTTCAGAAAAAATGTCATTTAATGTAAATAAGGTGATGTTTCTGGAATAGAGCCATTAGAATCTTCACTTCAGCAGGCAAACGGGAAGTGCCATTGCATTTTCTTCAGAGACAACAGGAAAGATCTAATTTCAAGCAGACAAAATCAAAATAAAGAAAACTCAGTGCCTCTTCCCTGTTTGGGCTGAGAAGTATAAATGGAGGTTTTAGTATTAGCAAGTGACTGGCATTGTGGGTGCAGTTGTAATAATGCTAGTGGGGTGTCCCATCTCTCTGAAGGAGGTTTTCTAGGGTTAAGAGTGGGAAGTATAAGTCTGAAAAATAAATAGATCTGAGGAAAGCTAATCAAATGTAAGGAAGAAACTTATGAGGACTACGGATTAATGATGGTTTTGTTTGAGAAAGGAGGAGAATGACTAGAAAGAAAAAGAAGGAAGTTGACACTAATGAGGAAATATAATGTGAGTTGACACATTAATAGGAGTTATGGGAAATAAGTGCTAGCATGTTCCAATACTAGCCACTTAAAAATCGTGTTTGCTGCCAACCTCTAATCTGATTGCTGGAGTCAGTCCTCATGTGAACACTCCGATGAGTCACTTTGTAGCTAGTTTTGAAGGTATTACCATCCTCATGATTATGTGTTTTCTTCACCTGCCCCTCCCCCTCTTTTGTGCTGTGTGTTGGAATAATGCCGTCTGCCATGGCCAGGGATAGGCTCTCTCATTAACTTTTTCCTCTGTTTCTGCCACAGGCTTGAGCTGTATAGGAAGGTACCAAACCTGCGGATTCTGGCCTGTGGTGGGGATGGAACGGTAGGTCCTTGAAAGAGAATCCAGTTCTCTTCCTTGTTTCTTCCGTCTGCCATTTGTTCTCCTGAAAACATTTGTCTTTCTTCATTCCCCCCTCACAGTCTTTCCAGTCCCCTAAGCATGGGTCCCCGACCTCTGGGATCTAACACCCGATGATCTGAGGTGGAACTGATATAATAGGAATAGGAGTAAAGTACACAATAAATGTAATGCACTTGAACCATCCTCCCCCAACCCCGGTCATTGGAAAAATTATCTTCCATGAGGCCATTTCCTGGTGCCAAAAGGTTGGGGACCACTGCGCTAAAACATTTGTCTCTTATGTGAATCCAAGCCCCTAGGGGTTAGGAGGGACTCTTGTTATTGGCGTTAAGGATTCAGTCTTGATCTTTCTAAATTCTGTTTCCCACCCCCCTGTTCTGTCCCTTTCCCTGTTCCACAAAGTAAGGATCATTAGAATGAAGTGATCACTAGAATGGAGATCACTAGGTCACTAGAATGATCTTATGATCACTAGAAGTGATCTTCTAGCCAGATCACTAGAAGGAAGATCATAGATGACTAAATGATTTTTAAAACAGAAACTGACCTATTTCCAGATATTCTTAATAGTTGGTCACAATTCTGGAAGAGAAATATGCATACACCATTGAATTATTGCTTTTATTTTATTTTTTTTTTTTACTTGTGGAAAGAAAAGTTAGAATATTGACCAATGTTTTATCTTAAAGATCATAGTTGGTCCTCTTTGGAGTCATTTTAGGAGAAAAGATGGAATTGGGCCGATGTCTAACATCACGGGTGTGTTTCCCTCAGTTTGTCTCATCTGTTTGTCAGTTTGCCCTCTGCTTATGTTGCTATATTTAGCAAAGGCAAATAATTGAGAATGGTGACATTTAGATTTTGCCGTTCAGTATCTTTTCTTCTATATTTAGAGTTTGATCTCATAGGATTTTATTATGAACTATCTTTGGCTTTTCTCTAATTTTCCTAATTAGAATGTTTTACTCTCAAAGGTAGCAACAGGATCTTCTAATTTCATCTCTCACAGCACGTGAGCACTTAATGCTCCACCGAATACACATCATATACTAATAAGCGCAACCAGAAAGAAATTAAACAGTGATTCCACTAGTCCTTTAAGATTTTCTGTGGAGAGGAAAACAATTTTCAGTTGAGAAAATAGTGTTTACTATTCTTTGAGACTCTGATACACATTATTAGCTTATAAAATTCATTATAAAGTCTTAAAGAAGCCAAACCTATTTTGCTCTGTTTAACCTGGTGCTTTCCAGAATTATTTGACTGTTGGGATAGCCCTGGTATCCTGAATTCAGGGTCCTTTCTCTCTCTTAAATGACAATTACATCAAATCCGTGTTGGCTGCCTGTGCCATCTTCATATCTTGGGCTTCGTCATGGCCTGGCTGTTCCACCTTCCAAACTTCCCCTGATCCCCTGCGTCTCCCCTCACCTCTCTCTGCCCACCCTCATCCATTCAGCGGGTATGTGTAGAAAGCACTGTTCTAGGTTTTGTGGTATTGAAGTATTCTCTGCAATTAGAGAAATGTTTGGAAACATGGAAATGCAAAGCATAAAGGAAAGAGAAAGAAGAGCCAAGTCCAGACACGTGTGAAATGTTTGTAATTATGGAGTCAGAGCTGAATTTCACAAGAAGAGAAAAAGATATAAGTCTTATCTGTCATATCACCAGTAGTCTTATCAAGAAAAACAATCCCCAAAGAAGTTTCAAGACAGCAGTGATGATATTATTAAGAGAATGAAGGATTACTATGGATTTGCAGACTAGGAGGTAACTGGTGGTTTTCAGGAAAATAGTTATAATAGAGTGCCTGGGACAAAACTCAGAGTGAGAGAGATTTGTCGTTGTCGCTAAGTTGTGTCTGCCTCTTTGTGACCCCACGGACTGCAGCAGGCAGGCCAGGCTTCCCTGTCCTTCACTGTTTCCTGGAGTTTGCTCAAACTCATGTCCATTGAGTCAGTGATGCCATCAGTGGGACAAAACCCAGAATGAATGAGATTTGGTACCACCCTAATGAGTTCTGGGATTCCCTGGTGGCTCAGTGGGTAAAGAGTCCACCTGCAGTGAAGGAGACCCGGGATCGGCCCCTGGGTTGGGAAGAGCCCCTGGAGATGGGAATGGTAACCGACTCCAGTATTCTCGCCTGAAGAATTCCATGGGCAGAGGAACCTGGTGGGCTACAGTCCATGGGGTTGCAAGGAGTCTGGACACGATTGAGCAGCTAATAAGCAACACACATACTGAGTTCTAATGAACAGATCCAATCACAGTGTTGAATTTCTAGAAATACTTTTCTGGTGTCATTAATGTCACCTTCTTGACTTGTAGACTACCTGGTTCTCCTGCTTTTCTTATCTTTTCTAGCATCTCTTCTTTAAATATACCATAATTAGGTTATCTTTTTGGTATCTTTCAGATCCCATAATTAGGTATCTGGAAGACCTAGACCATAATCTAGGTCTTCCAGAAGCCTGGATGTAACTTCTCATTGATGTTCTAGGTGCTTTTTCCTCCCTGGTACCTTATCTATGATCCTATCTTCAGTTTTTACATCCTTCTACATCGTTCAAAACTGCAATAGACATTTATATGTACAACAGCTATGAAAAGTGGTATGTTTCCCTTAGAATTGATGCATTCTTTTGAGCTAATTATTTTTTCAGTGGTAACCTCTGTAGTCCAATCATATAGAATCAAAACTTTGCATATCTTCTACCTTATATAAAACCAGATTTTATTTTACCTTGTTAAAACAAGTTGTGCTGTGAAAGGTATCTGGGGTTTATAATGTGCTTATCAAGGTACATGATTAACATTTTTAATTTTATCAGTTTAGAATATGAAACTTTTAATTTTGAGTGTTTGTTTGAAGGAGAGGCCTGCTGATGGAATCATGAAGAGAAACTCTTGGCTCTTGGCAAATGAAGGATAATTCCTGAGTGCCGGGTATATGTTTGACATCAGGTGCTCAGCCTTGATTTAGTGAGTGTGTCTATCACTGTAAAGCTTGTCAGAATTCTAAGTGACAAGGCTCTAGGAGGAATCAGAAATGGAATACTTTTGACTGGTTGGGATGAGGATATGTTAATCCTTAATCACATCAGTTTATATACAAAGTATTGTTTAATATACAGACATCTTGCATTAATTTGGAAAAAAGTTCTTAGGCTTCAATATGAGTTACTTTAATTTGATGCTATTGAAAAGTACAAGGAGGCATATACTGCATTTGGAAGAGAAGAGATGCTTGCGCCACCATTGCTGTGGCTTTTGGCAAGTTCCTCAATCCCTTCTGAGATGTTCTAAGTCTGAAAACAGACACGTTTGGATCTCTAAGGGTCTTCACAGCTGTAGCATTGTATTAGTATAGACCACTGCTGTTTAGGAGAACTATTATGTAAGCTGCAGTCTTTAAGTTTTCTAGAAGACACAACTAAGAAGCAGGTAAAATTGATTTTATAATATATTTTCTTTAGTATATCCAAGATACTATCATTTCAACATGCCATCAGTATAAAGTTGCTAATGGGATATTTTATTCTCAGTTTGTACTGTCTCCAGAACCAGCCTATATTTTAAATTTACAGTGCCTCTAGCTTGCGTCAGCCACATTCGAGCAGCTTGTGACCACACCTGGCCAGTGGTGACTGCAGGGGACAGCGCCACAGTTTCGGGCTCTTGGAAACTGGTTTACAGAATCCCGAGATGGTCACAGAGCTGCAGGTGTCCAGTGGGCTGGTCCCATCTTTGATCTCTAGGCGGAGAGAAAACAACTCAGAATGACCTCCAGCCTTCATGTTTTAAACTAGCGTATTCCCTCTTTGGTCATGGGGTAGATTTGCATTCTGTCCTTTCTTCGACCGCATCTCCACCCATCCAACTCCCCATGGCTGCTGCTTGCTTAAATATCAAGGAGTCTGTAAACTGAGACACTAAAGTCACAGGTTGCCTCCCCTCCTTAAAGATCCTTAAGGTGAAATGTTATCTGTCCTTACCTGCCCTTGGCCTTGATGAACTGGGCTGGACCCAAAGGTCCACGCTTAACCCTGCTGACGTCTTTCCCAAGGGCTGAAGTTAAATGTACTTGAACTGCAGCATGCTTATTTCTGGTTCAGTTGGCTTCCCCAGGTGAGGATACATGCTAACCAGAAGGCACACCCATGCCCTGGCTCCCTGCAGCACAGAACAGGGAAGAGAGGTCTATTTCCCTCTAATTGACAGGGCAAGAAAATTGTTCCACATGCCTCTTCTCTCTCAACCTCTCCACATCCCACACTCTCTTGAGAAGCAGCCCATGGTATAACCTCAGTTGTCTTCATGCCAGTGAGAGAACGGACAGCCTAAAGTCTACATTGTATTTAAAAAAAACAAAAACCAAAAAACTCATATTTTGGCTTTTTTCTCAATTCCTTTAGGGCTGATTTTAAACATTTATCTTACCATAGAGTGACTTTGTAAACTATTAAGTGCAAATATAAAAATATCAAAAGGACGAATGGCAATGTACACGTTACAAAGGAAATCTAGTTGTCAAATGCTGCCTTTAGATGATCTTCCAGGGTGCAGAAACGTTCCCCTCGTTCTTTTGATTTCTTTATATGAGAATCCTTTACTTTTCTGCCTGCAGATAATATGAGGAAAGGCAATTGTGCACCCGCTCTGTTCAAAGAAAATGTCAATTCACGGTCCTGTTCGCCCACCCCTCAGCCAGTTCTCAAGCTAGGATATTGCTGAATGGAAAACACTGCTCCGCCTGCACGTGGGAAATTATCTGGTGATAGTTATAGCTGAATGTGGCCAGGAGGTGGCAGCATCGGGCAACTGCTGCAGCCCCAAGGCTGGGCTGCTTTGCTCAGAGTTGAAGCCCAGAACCCTGGTATGCTAGACCTGTCAGCCCTGCTTTTCCTTACATGAAGGCAGGAAGGTGCTCTGACCCTGCCCATTCTTCAGTTGTGATGGAAAATATGCTAAGTGCCCTGTGTTGCAGTTAATTAAGTTTAATTGAAGAGGTGCTTGTGGACATGATTTGGGGTAATGCAATATTCCCAGCAAACACAGTCCTGCCAACAAATATGCATCTGGACTTCCAGCAGGAGCAGGGTCCTGGGTCCTGGGAAGGTAGAACCTCTGATAACAGCCGATAATGGCTTTGGACTTTAAGACCTTTTATATAGTTTTGTTCTCATAGGGGCAGAGGCACGGACGATTACTGGAGATCTTTTATGCCTCCTTCTCTTGTAGGTGTATTTGTTCTGTAGTCTCTCCCCCTCACCGCCCTGCTCCCTCTATTTCACCTTTCTGCTATAGTACAACTTGGCTTTTACTTTTTTTGATAGTCTGTGCAAGACTTTGTGACTTGTTGGCAGTCAGCGTTGGGATCAATCTGTGAAATTCAAGGCTCAACCTCGAAGTGGAGAGACAGGAAAAAGGCATTTTGCTTCTAGGACACTGGACTTCTATGGATGAAGTAAAGAAAAAGGAAGAAAAATACAGCTTAACTCAGAGCAGTTAATGTTAATTTTAGGGTTTCTTATTTGTCAGGCACCTGCTAATCAACATGTTTATGTCATTTAATTGATAAAATTCCCCTATGAGGCAAGTACTGTTACCCCCTTTTACATAGGAGGGAATTAGGTTAACTGACCTGCCCAGGCTCACCTGGCCAGTATGTGATGGAGCCAGGCTTCTGACCCAGCAAGTCACCCCCCATCTCTGTGCCTTCCCTAGGTTATGTTGTTGCCTTTTGGGGAAGGTGGTTGTTGGGTAGTGATGATGTAGCTCTTGGATGAGAAAAATTGTTCAAGAGTTGTGTGAAAGAAAGATCTAGACCCACGTTAGCCAAAGAACTGTGAGCCTAATATGGATTCAAGACAAAAAAATCTGTGCTGTGACAGGCAGAAGACGTTTGATGACTCCAAGGGTTATGTAATTGATGATGCCTGCTTGTATTCAGGGGAAAATTAAATGGTTGACTAACTGGCCATTGGATGGCATCACCAAATCAATGGACATGTGTTTGAGCAAACTCTGGGAGATAGTGAAGGACAGGGAAGCCTGGTGTGCTGCAGTTCATGGAGTCGCAAGGAGTCAGACACGACTTGGTACCTGAACAACAACAAACTGGCTGTTGGAAAAGGAGAGAGAATCTATTTCTGCAGTTTTGTTTTGTTTTGTTTTTTAAACCAAGTCAACTTGTAAGAAAGGGGAAAGTCCTTTACATTCAAATCAACTGTATGTTTTCCTTTCATACTTGAAAGTGAAGCAAAAGTAGCTCAGTCTGTGTCCAACTCTTTGCAACCCCATGGGCTGTAGCCCACCAAGCTCCTTTGTCCAAGGGATTCTCCAGGCCAGAATACTGGGGTGGTTTGCTATTTCCATCTCCAAGGGATCTCCCCCACCCAGGTATCGAACCTGGGTCTCCTGTTTTGCAGGCAGATTCTTTACCATTTGAGCCACAGGGGCAGCCTATACTTAGGCCAAGTGTAAAAGGGAAAGGAGATGGTGAGAAGTCAGAGGGTCCAGAGGACCCTTGCCATTTTGGGGAATCACACCACAGTTTCATGTGGATTCTTGGCAGCCTTCCAAGAACAAAAAGAAAGGAATAATTCTTAACGTTTGAATGAGGACAATTATACTGACCAGAGATCTATTGGGAGACACTTTATCAATTCATGGAAGTTATGGGACAGTTATTTCAAAGTTACTTGACAATTATTTGTGTTTCATGGGTTGTAAATTATTCTCTGACCTTCTGGTCTATCTTACTCTTAGTGTTCTTTCTGGGATTTAGAATTTCTCTCTGTAGGCTCGACTTCAGAGGAAGATGTTTTGCTGTGTTTGATTTTTCCCTTTTCTTTCTCTGCACCCTTGTACTAATCTTTTCTAGTAGTTTGAATGGTTTCCAGGATCCTGAGACTCGAGTTGGGTCTCCTATAAGTGGTTAGGGCTCCCATCCTGACCCTGGGTGAGGGGTGTTTCAGGTGTCAACAAGCTCATGGGCATTTCAACTCATAATAGAAGCTTTATCCCTCCAGCCCTAAGGCATCACAGCTTTCTGTGGATGATGGCCTCAGGCAGTGGCTCCTCACCCTCTCTTCTTGGCCTCTTTTCTTCTGACCACATAGGGAGTCTGGTTCATACACAGCCTCCTGCCAGCAAGGGGTGAACTTTTATCCCCTGTAATCAGACAGAAGCCAAACTCCTGGCTTCCTCTGCTTGCCCCTCTGTGCTTTCTTTGTTTCTGACCCACGGAGACTTTTTTTCCTCCTATTTTTATGTCTAGAGGGAAATAGAATGTTCAAAGTGTGAACTCATAGCATTACCTTTATCCAGAAAACACAGACCTATTTCAAAGGAACACAAGAAAAATATTTCTAATTTAAATCTACCTAAAAGAACTTAGATTTGACTTGTGAGTATAAATCAGAATAGGGGAGCTGCAGGAGCATCTCTCAGAGAAGGTAAAGAGTCTGTCTTCTTTTCCCTGCTGTCTATGGAATATTGAATTAGATTTCCTGTAAGTTCCACCCTCTCTCTGAGTCTCTGGTTCTACTCAGGGCTGTTTACAGCTGTAGTCAGGGAGCCCAGATTGTTGGGATTTCTGAGTTTTTGTGTCCTTTTTCATGACCTTTAAACCCCCTGCTCATCATTTATTAGAGGTCACTGCTTTGACTCCATCTCGTTTATGTTTTCAGCGGCCAAGGAACAACCTCTAACATAGTCATTAGCACTACTTTAGTGTCTGGCATTTTTTTTTTTTCTCCTTTTACTTCAATAGCAAGCTTAGTGAGTGTTGTGTCAAAGAAGAGCTACAGAAGCCCTGGGTGGGAATCTGAGAACTTGTCCAGGGGTTCTTTGCTCAGTTTGGGGGAATGAGGGGACTTGTGGACCCTCGTTTAGATCTGAATGTTTAGTTTCCCACCTTGGGCCAGCATTGTGTTACCCCTTTCTAAAAGGTAAACACAGTTTTAGGCTTCTTGATGGATGGGCGAGTCTGACATCTTAAAAAGTAGTCACCGTGAAGGAGAAAGGGTTTTTGATAAGGGGTCAGCAGACCTGGTCATGACTGTTTCTTTCACTTCTGATTATTTGGTCTTGAGCAAATAACATAGCCTCTGTGTACCTCAGTTAATAAATCTGCAAATTAACTGAATTTGATCAAGCAGTTTCCAAGGATTCCCCAGTGCTCCAAAGATCCCGAAGGTCCATGCCATTGACTCTGGGATGGTCAGGCCACTTGGGAGCTGAGTTTAGTTCTTTACTGAAACATTCCTTGCACCGGAGTGGCTCAGAGGTTGGCCTTTGATGGGTGGCAAACCTAGCTTTGAGTGTCAGCTGTACCGTATAAATGGTGTGATGTTGAGGCCGTCACTGAACCTTTCAAGCCTTGGTTTCTTTGTCTATGAATTGGGAATGAAAATTATATCTATTGTAGAGAGTTGTTTTGAAGTTTAATAATTCAGTAGAAAGCTTTGCTTAGGGACTAGCACACAGAAAAGATCAGTATGCCCTTCTTTTTGTTAATTGCAAAATCCTTGAGAGCAAGCATTCTGCCTTATCTTAGAGTGGCTCACTCATCTTTTTATTTCAATTCCTTATTTCCATGCTTTATTATATAGTAGTGTTCAATAAATGTACTGTTAAAATACAGTTTAAAACAAATTTTAAACATGATTCTCAAACAACTTTAGAGTCAGTAAATGTTAAAAACTTTATTTAGGTTTATAATAAAGGAGCTAGCAAGATAATACCACCAGTTTATTGGAGAAGAAAAGGAAAGGAATTATGTAGTTTATACCAGAATAATTTTTCTAAATTTGAGACAAAATTGGTTTATGTTCTGATGGGGGAATAGAACCAGAGCATTTAAAGTGATCTTCTCTTCTCAATGTTTGTATCTCTATAGGACAAAAGTTCTCCCAGTAACTTACACTCATAAAGTTCTTAGATAAGCCTTGTGACGCTGCTCTAGAATAACACTGTGAGGATATTCAAGTTTCTTTTTGCTGTTTCCAAGTTTGGGGTAATTTTGCTAAATAGTTATAATAAGACAAAACACCAAGTATTATTTATCTTAGAAAAAGATTGAACAGGAATATGATTCTAGTATATAACTATCCATTTTCTGCCTAAACTTATAATAAGTACTAAGATCATCCATAATTATGTTTTTTAATGTTTCATTAAGAGGAATATAGGGATATTTAGGAAAGCACTACTAATTTCTAAGATGATAACGTACAGAGTAATCATTTAATGAGTACTTCCATAAGCCACGTACCATATCAAGGTTTTTATATATGTTTTAGTTTTAATCTATAAACAGTCTTGAGAGGTAGGTATTATTATCTTCATTTTGAAAATCAAATAAATGAGTCTTACTGTGGTTAAATATTTAATCAAGATGACAAAGCCAGTGTGAGCCAGAATTTAGATTTAGTCTGATTTCCTGAAATGCCCTAGGGATGAACCGACCTCCCTAAATTGTAAACTCTCCTGAATTTTAAAGTAGATTTCTAGTTGATGTGGGTTCAGTCCCTGGGTCAAGAGGATTCCCTGGAGAAGGAAATGGCAACCCACTCCAATATTCTTACCTGGAAAATGCCATGGGCAGAGGAGTCTGCATCTGACTCTTTGCAACCCCGTGGCTACAGTCCATGGGGTTGCAAAGAGTCAAATATGACAGAGCGCACACACATACTAAACACACAGATGAACAGGTCTAGTTTTGCTTATATGATATGGGGTATACAAAATGGTTCTTTTTCCTTGTGAAGAGACTTGGTGCATTGAAACTGCTTGGGATAAGTGCCCTTTCTGTTTCCTGGTTGCTGTATTTTTAAAGAAAAATATGCCTATTCTGTTTTGCTCCTTTTAAAGCCTGCCGTTCTCAGGTTGTCTCCTTTGTAACTTACCTATCTTTCTTCTGTCTCTTCTGGCCCCCAAATGCCTGTAGGTGGGCTGGATCCTTTCCATCCTGGATGAACTGCAGCTGAGTCCTCAGCCTCCTGTCGGGGTCCTTCCTCTGGGGACCGGGAATGACCTGGCTCGGACTCTCAACTGGGGAGGGGTAAGCTTGTCCTCAGGGGCTGCCCACGTCATCAAGCGGTGGAGCCCCCGCATCCACATGTGTTCTAGCGGAAGGCACATGTGCTCCTCTTGTTCAAGGAGCAAGTTAGAGTTGAGAATCAAGGTCCCCGTGAACCAGTTTTTTCTGTGGTTTTTATCTCTGTTGTCCTCTAGAGGAGGGGGTTTTTTTTTTTTTTTTAAATGGGTTTTAGTACACAGGTCTGGGTCTTTTTGAGGTATTCACTAAAAGTCAGTAGTTACAGGTACCCAGGGGGTGGGTTGGTCCTTATATTAAGCAATTACAGAGACTCGAGTTGCTCATGACCCCTAGTCCTGCCCTGATGAATCTGGTTCAGATTTCTGATTCTTACTTGGGAAGAGTCATGGCTTTGTTTGAGCTTTTAGTTTTCTAGTTAATGTCATCAGGCTTTTGGCTGTACAGGTAGCCAATTTTCCTTTTCACCATGGAGTCAACTTCAGGCAAACTTGTTGAAGGCAGTTTAACCAGCCATTCAAAAGGGGCTTCCCAGGTGCCTCAGTGGTAAAGAATCCTGCAATACAGGAGACGCAGGTTTGATTCCTGGGTTGGGAAGATCCTCTGGAGAAGGAAATGGCAAACCCACTCCAGTATTCTTGCCTCGAAAAACCCCACGGACAGAAGAGGCTGGTGAGCTATAGTCTATGGGGTTGCAAAGAGTCGGACATGACTTAGCGATTAAACAACAACAAAACAACAATCATTTAAAAACTATTATTATTATCATCATGATCATTAATATTTTTACAGTATTAGGAAAGTAAGAAAGCACAATATGCTAACATATGCTGTCTGACTGGTTTTTTAACTGCTCGTATTGCCTGGGCTGGGCTTGATGAAAATTATCTTCAGATATTAGCAGATACTAATCTGGTTTTTGGGTGTATTAACCTCCCATGGGTGATAATTATGTCAGGGTATTAGCAGATATTTATTTGACCTTGGGTGAATTAAATTCCCAGAGGTCTTTTTTTTAATTTTAAGTAAGCATAGTATAAATAATATATTTTCATAAGGCAGCTAATGTGTTTATCAGTATTAGTTCCTCTTATCTAAATCAGTGACTTGATCATCCTAAATAATCATGCTATCAGTCATGTGTGCTCAAGGAGTAAGTAGATAGCTCCCTAGCAGAGCTGTCCATCACTCAGATTTGCCTTAGGTCCTGAAAGGAATGGTATCTTAGGACAAGGTCAGGGAGAGGTGAGTGAAGTGAAATATTAGAAATCATCTAGCAGATGTTGCTTGATTCTTTTCCTGCTTTGCCACATACACTTGTTCTGTGTATCCTCCAAATTTCTTTAGAGGGAGATGTGGGGAAATCTGTTTTCCCCCTGATAAAAACAGCCATCCAGCATGGCTCTCAAATGCCTGCCATTGACTATTCTTGGTGCTGACGGAAGTCATTCTTCCGCTCAAACCAACTAGAGATAGTATTTCTGTGCACAGTACCCGTGACTATTGTCTTAAATTCTAAATACCTCAAGAAAAACAGTTTACTTTCTCAGCCTTGTTAATTGCAAAATAAAGGGAGAGCTGCAGCAGAAGGTCTCCGCCTTCTGGCATGAACTATCAATACCTTTGGCTGTACTGTCCACCGTTCCAGACAGCAGTGTGTTCATCCTTTGATTCCTTAGGGCTACACTGATGAGCCGGTTTCTAAGATCCTTTGCCAAGTAGAAGATGGGACGATTGTACAGCTGGATCGCTGGAACCTCCACGTGGAAAGAAATCCAGACTTGCCTCCTGAAGAACTGGAAGATGGCGTGTGTAAGGTTAGAGAGTTTTCCCTTCTGCAGAAAGGGAACCCTGGAGTATGTTCTGCCTGGGCCACAGGAAATAATTCCTGGCCAGAGAGTTATGTCTGATTCCCTCCTATAGAGGTTATGGCTACTAGGGCTTTGAGAATAATGCTATCCAGTGATTCTGCCCCATAGACTTCTAAAGATCAAGATTTCCTAAGTGTTTCCATAGCGCAGGGAGCTATTCTCTGTCATCAAATTCCACACCAGAAAGAAATATATCAGTTTTCTAATCTTTCAAATTCATTGCGAAGTCTTAAACCTATGAGGAGATTAAAAAAAAAATCATATGGCCTGAAAACATTAGGCACAGGGTCTTTCAATAGAAAGATACCATCTGAAATTTCTGGTCTGATAGCAAAAATTCCAATTTCATTACTTGTTTGTGATGTGAAGATACACCTAAATAAATGTTTGACTTAGCGTCCTTCAGTAATTAAACTTGTATCTCACAAACCAAGGGATATAATTATAAAAATGCTACTGGAGAGCTTCAGGGGAAAATTCAGTTTTAAGTTCTGGCCTCAATTTCATATAAATCTGATAGGTTTCTGAGTAGCCACTTGCTTTCTATTACTTTGTCTTTTTCTTCTGTGATAGTGTTTTCACATTTTCATTGTGTAAGAATCTCCAGGCCGTGTGCCTCTGAAATGTAGATTGCAAGGCCCTGTTCCCAGAGATTCTGATTAAGTAGATGTAGGGTGAAGGCCTGGCATCCGTGTAGCATCCCTGCTTTATTGGATCACACCATTGATTGAAGCCAGGATTTCATGGTGCTTCGGCCTTTGAATCCGGTATCATTTTAGACCAAACCAGTGACCTTTCCTTGGAGAAGGAAATGGCAGCCCACTCCAGGATTCTTGCCTGGGAAATCCCATGGACAAAGGAGTATTGTGGGCTACAGTCTATGGGGTCACAAAAGAATCAGATACAACTTAGTGACTAAGCAACAGCAAATGCACCTTTATTGATGAGCATCAAGATCCCAACAATTTGTGGTAGAAGCTCAAGTTACTTATTTGACTAAAATTGGTTAAAACATGTTTTGTCTTACCTTCATAGTTTTTTCACCTAAACTATGACCCAGAAACTAAGGTTTTGTGTAGTTATCATGATTGTTCAGTTGACCTTGAGTTTGTAATGTCACAGTGTTGTTTAAGCAAGTATCATCTTGGGATATAATACTTCTTTGTAATGTATTTGACTTATAGAAACTGGGTATAAAACAGCTAAAGTACAAAGAAATGTACCATATGAAAATGTTAAGGTCCTATCCCCACTCAGCTTGGAATGGTTAGGCCCTCAATAGCAATCTCTATTTAATTCTCTTCCCAAAAGCTTAAGAAATGGAAAGACTTCTTGATGCAGCTTGGGGACATTAATCCAGATAATTAAAGGGTTTCAAAGTGGATTTGTAAGGAGATGTGTAGGAAATTGGGGCAATTTTTCCTGGAAAATATGAATAAGTACTCTTAAAACAGATTAAATTGTGATGTTATTTAGAGGATGGTGACCAGATGTTCTCCTATGTTATCAGCGGATGCTGAGACATGGGTTAGAATCGTAGCCAAGAGAACATAAATGGTAGAAATGAACATATCTGTGCTTTTGGCAGGATCACCAACCCTTGCTGTCATTCCTAAGGACTTGTATTTTTGTTTAAGTGCAGGAACTGGACATTCTCAAATGTGAAGCCAGGAGAGTGAGACATGTTTTGGCATTGTTCTGTGTGTTGAGTTTCTCTCCCTGTTCTCCAGTCACTTGTAACCACTTCTAAGGGCTGAGCTGACCTCTGAATCAGTACATCTCTGACTCAGCCTTCTGTGTTTCTGTATTATTAATAATCTCTCTCTTGCTCTCTGTCTGACTCTTCCTCTCATTTCATTTTTCTCTTACTGGGACAAGATTATTGCTCTAGTCAAAGAGAAAAATCTTACTGATCAAGGGGCATAGGAAACCCAGTAATTTTTGAAATCTTGAGGCTAAACACTTATTTCTAATAGAAGAGGAGTGCATTTCTCTCTGGAGGATAAACCTGATCATTATCTGGAAACATCATCCAGGCTGAGATAATATTTCCCCTCTGTTTACTTTAACATTTACCTTCCAATCTGGGTTGCAGAAGAAAAAGTGGAAGAACCACCGTATGCCTTCTAGCATTTCCCACAGGCTTTTCTAATTGTTCTCACCTTAAAGCACAGGCCTTCAGATCATGTCAGCTTTGTAGTTTTAATGCAGGACTTCAGGCTACATAGCTTGTTCTCTCCTTTACTCAACTTGCAGCAGTAACAACCAGGGACCCAGAGGACTCTGGCAAGGAAAGCTGAGGCTCGTATATATACCTGTGTCTGTGGTTGCATATTTCATGGTCATATTAAAGATATAAGAGTTAATAGAGTAAATAGAAATCTGAATACTGATAAATACACACACATATATTTTATTTCTAATTGGAGGATAATTGCTTTACAATGTTGTGTTGGTCTCTGCTGTATAGCAGTGTGAATCAGCTATAAGTATACATGTGTCCCCTCCCTATCGAACCTTCCTCCCATCCCATCCCACCCCCTAGGTCATCACAGAGCACCAAGCTGAGCTCCCTGTGCTATTTGGCAGCTTCCCACTAGCTATCTGTTTTGCACATGATAGTGTATATATGTCGGTGCTACTCTCTTAATTAACTTTTAGTTTTTCTCTAGGTTGAGAAAAGTTAAATGGCTCCCACTGGCTTATTGCTTACATGGCTTTTGTCAAAAATATATAGATTTTTAGAAAATAAGGGTAAACAAATTAAATGGTGTTTATTTTCAGTTGCAGTATTAATTTGCTGAACGTAAATTCTTCAAAAAATGTGCATCCACTGATTAAGAAGGTTAGATGTGATCCTTACAATTAAATTTATTTGCAAAATTTGTTTAGTGAATCATCCCTTGTAACTGTTACAAATGTGCATCCCTCAGCCCTCAAGATTCTCGTGTTATAATATCCACAAGAATGGTTCTCATTTAATAATTTGTGTTGTGTCTCTTGTTTCCTAAACTATTTAAAATTCTTGAGAGTATCCTATGAGTTGAGCTTTCACTAAAGAATTAATTCAAAAATCCCTTGTTCCTTCTATGTAGACACCCCTACGCTGGGTTGTGACTGTTTTTTCTCCCAGGGACTTGCCTCACAGACAGGTGTCTGGCTTTCAACTTTACCTCTGCCTTTGCTCGTCATTGCAGCTTCCTCTGAATGTTTTCAATAACTACTTCAGCCTTGGATTCGATGCGCACGTCACATTGGAGTTCCATGAATCCAGAGGTGAGGACAACGTCCCATTTCCATCTCCCAGGGAGGAAGTTTCCAGCAGGTGTTTTGCATGTTCCCTTTTGTTTGCATATCACTCAAGTGTCCACAGTGTGCCCTACTGCTGTTTTTCCATTTGAAGTTCCATGGTGAACCTGGGAGCTCAGTAAGATAGAAACCTATTACAGATGTTACCCTGAGACCTCGTTGTTTAGGGTCTCAAAGACAGTAAAGCTCAGGACCAGATGTGTGCTCCAGGACTCAGGACTGCTAATCTTTAGGTTTGACTAGAAACTAAAGTTAGTGAACAACCCAGAAGTGATTAAAAAAAAAAAAGAGGAAAAACAGTGACTGAAGAACTGGTAAGGGAGGATTGATGCTGACTGAGAGTAATGAATACCATGTTCATGGAGAGGATCCAGAGACAGTACACAATAAATACACACGAAATGTTGAAACAGACTGGCTGATGTGTCTATACCAGAGGTGTGGACTTTTTAGTATCTGTTAGTCTATCTCTTTTGCATTAAGTAAAAAAGAAATCATTATTAATGATGAAAGGTATACTTACTCGAGCTAGTTTTTTAATATAATTTTTTTTGGCTATACTGGATCTGCATTGCTCCGCAGACTTTTCTCTGGTTATGGTGAGCCAGGGCTACTGTCTAGGTGCGGTGTGAGGGGGTTCTCATTGCGGTGGCTGCTCTTGTTGCCTAGCACGGGCTCTAGGCTATGTGGCCTTCAACAGCTGTGGCACTTGGGCTCAGTAGGATGGCTCATAGGCTCTAGAGAACAAGGTCAACAGTTGCGGTGCACAGGCTTAGTTGCTGTGACATGTGGGATCTTCCCGGATCAGGAATCAAACCAGTGTCTCCTGCATTGGCAGGTGGATTCTTTACCAGTGAATCACCAGGGAAGTCCATCGGGCTAATTTTTTTTTCTTTTTTTGCTGTTTTCTGTTTATTTGGGTTTTCCACGTTTTTACTTGGATAGTCAAGAAATCTCAAGCTCCACTGCAGGAAGAGGAGGAAGAAAGTGAGGCTGCATTTTCATTAGGGTCATATGTACTTATTTTTGTTGATAGATAGTGGCTGGAAGCCATGCAAACCACAGCTGAGACTCCAAACTGTTCTCCAAAGCAGCTGCTCAGAGACTGTGACTTCATGACAAAGCTTGTATCATTTGCATCCGATACTTGCAGAGTGATTCAAAGCCTCATGAGAGCCATTCCAAAAAAAATAACCTTGCCTAGAATAACCTACTAGATATTGGTCAAAACATACAATATATTGGGAATTATGCCAATCCATTTACATGGACTGGGTAATATAAATCTAACTAAAGCAGAATCCTAAAAAATTCAATTGCAGAAACAGTTTTTGGCATAGATATGAAATAGCTCATCAAATTGACATGGGACAGTTGCAGCCTTTTATTACTTATTGTATTTTTTTTAGAAGGGACAATTAAAATGACATTCATTTTAAGACAGTTTATTATTGGTGTTTTCTGTGTAAATGTTTTTTAGAATTACCAGTAGAAAAGCAAATAAGGAGTAAAGAAAGGCTGAACATTTTGATTGACTTTGTAGGTAAATAATGCAAACATTTGAATAATTTGATCAGAAAGAAAGTATATTGGACTTCCCTGCTGGGCCAGTGGTTGACTCCATGCTTCCAATGCAGAGGATGTGGGTTTGATCCCTGGTCAAGGAAGTCAGATCCAACATGCAGTGTGGTGCAGCCAAAATATAAATTTTAAAAAGTGGATTTTTAAAATAAGAAGATATACTTTATTTGATAAGAAAATAGATGCTGTTTTATTCTTCTCAAAGTGGCTAAGCCATGTCTGGCTGAACTGTTGTGTAACAGAAAAGGGAACAATTGGAAAAAAAATCAAAAAATTGAAAAGAATGGGCAATTAAATGGCAAGTGGAAACCTGCCCAGTACTTTACACTATTGCATTATGACAGTACTTGAGGAAGTACAATGAAAATACTCTAGTCCACTATTATATAGTCATGGTAACAATGATTATGGTTATCAGGTAGCAAAGCTAGGTTTCACTTTGCCAGCTATGTGAATTAGATAGCCATCTTTGGGGGACATGAAGGATATTAAACACATCAAACTTTTAATCTGAGATTGGACACTCAAGTCATACCCTCATTGAAATTGCTTATTATTCAGAGGATTTGAACCTTACACTACAAGGTCAAGGAAATATAATTATGACTCCTGAAGAGGCAGTATTTAAATTTGATTTAGGATTTGCTATTTTCTCTGAATATAAAGAGGCATGCAGATCAGCATGTTTCAAGGATTATGAATGTTTCATGATTCATATGGTGAACTGACAGATTTCTTTGAAAAGGTGTTATTTTCAGTGGACTGCTAAATTTCACCATCACCATCACCGCAAAGGACACACTGCCAGTCTCTTGCCCAGGTAGTAAGACTCAAGCACAGTTGACCTTTGAGAAATCCTGTCCAAGGTTCTCTATCTGTAACCTTCTTTTGCATCTTGAACCTCAGTGTGACATCTACTCACCATTCTAGGCTCAAGTGTACTTGCCTCTGGAACACTGTTCTGATCATTTGCTGTATGTGTGGAAGCCCCCCCCCCCCATCCTGCCCTGCCGCCCCCATTTTATCTTACATGGAGAAGGAAATGACAACCCACTCCAGTATTCTTGCCTGGAAAATTCCATGGACAGAGGAGCCTGGCGGGCTACAGTCCGTGGAGTCGTCTTATGTATACATGACATCTTTTTATGGCATATACAAAATAACATTTCTCATTTTCAGATCTGTCTTCCCCTCTTTAAACAACACAAGGGCAAAAGACTCTTATTTTTATCTTCTGTGCTAAGTCCAGTGGCTGTCTCAAATGTCTGCTATAGGAATGGAATGTTAAATTGGAGAGGCTCATATATAAAAGATAAAAGCAGAGAGAGTATATAGTAAGAGGAAAATGTGTAGGTAGTGAATAATATGGGAGTTTGGTGGGGATTGTTGACAGAAGAAGAGTATCAGGGGAAAGTTTCCAGAAAGGGTATGAGGGAATATGGTGGTAAATAAAAAAGGAATGTGACATAGACAAGAAGTAAAATGGGTAAGGGCATTTCAGACAGGAAAGAAAAGTACAGAGGGACAAAGGAGCTTGTGATAAAGATTGTTAGATGACTGGTTAATACAGAGTGAAAGATATTTGCCATGGTGTTAGAAAAATGAAGATAATGCTGGTAAAAATATTTGTCCTTAAGGTGCAGTGACTTTTAAAGAAAAGATTTTTATAACACATACAATTTTAATTGACGGTGACACTGTCACTGTAGGCATAGATATTGAAGTCATTTATGTATACATAACTGATGTCTTAAGATTGGGTTAATAGCCAATGCAGATAATTTGGAAGATGTATGAGTTATATGGGCTTCCTAGGTGGCATTAGTAGTAAAGAACCTGCCTGGTAATGTAGGAGAGGTAAGAGACATGGGTTCAATCCCTGGGTTGAGGAGATTCCCTGGAGGAGGGCATGGCAATCCACTCCAGTATTCTTGCTTGGAGAATCTTGGACAGAAGAGCCTGGTGGGCTATAGTCCGTGGGGTCACAAAGAGTTGGACACGACTGAAGCGACTTAGCACATACACACCAGTTATATGGCGTTCAAATTGCTTATTGGCTTTTATAAACATAGTGTTAAACTTATATTTGCTAATATCTCCCTAACAGGCAAGACCAATTACAGATAAAAGTAGAGTTTTGGATTCCATTCTAATGATACATATGTTATTGTGTTATACACAAAGATGGGATTAATATGTTAAAATAATGGAATGGATTATACCCAGGGTTTCATCATCATTATAAATGGATTACATTCAGAGCCAAATCATTTAGATGATTTAGATGATGAGATTTGGCAAGTTTGAAGTAATGAGATTTAGATGAGGTCTTTGGATTTTGAGTTGATGCTGTAATGGGAATGAGACCTTTTGGGACTTGGGAGGAAGTGAATGTGTTTTTCATATGTGAAGGATGTGAATTATAGGGGCCAGAAGGTAGAATGTTGTAGGTGAAATTTTAGTTTCTATGATGTTTGCCATTTGGTATCATGCTTGCCATTCAAATGTAGAGTTAGGATTTGGATACTTTCAGCCAGTCAGCCAGCTGTCTGATGAGAAATGACTTGGAGAAAGACCTATTCCTAAGAAAGGATAATAAATGAACAAAATAGAACGCGAACGTTGACAGTGGGTTCCTTTGGAACATCTTGGAATTTTATCAGAAAGAATGTAAGGAAATAGTATTTAATTTGGGGATTTTATCATCCCTTGGATTCATGTGAACATTCTCTGATGAAGATTCTTGTTTAATCTATTTATGGTCTTCAACCTATATAACATCCAGGAACAAACACAAAATTAAACCATTCTCAGTCAGAGCCTTTGCTGTCTTTTGCCCTGAGTCCATTCTGCAGGTCATCTGTGTATATCTGTATCTGTCTATATGTGCGTGCTCATTTGTGTCTGACTCTTTGCAACTGCATGGACTGTAGCCTCCCAGGCTCCTCTGGGAGGAGGGACTTCCCAGGAAAGAATACTGGAGTGGGTTGTCATTTCCTTCTCCAGGGGATCTTCCCAACCTCAAGATCAAACTGTGTCTCCTACATTGGCAAGAAGATTCTTTACCACTGAGCCATCTGGAAGCCCCATAGATAAATATTTATATTATATATATACATATAAATAATATATAATATTTACATATCTTCACTAAATCAAATGGTTTTTTGAGGCCTGTCACAAACAAGAGTATAGATGGTAGTTAGGAGTTTTTGCAAAATGTGACAGCAAATTCTTCATTGATTTTTTTTTTTTTCCATTTATTTTTATTAGTTGGAGGCTAATTACTTTACATCATTACAGTAGTTTTTGTCATACATTGAAATGAATTAGCCATGGATCTTCATTGATTTTTATCCAAATTCCCTATATTAAATTTGAACTGCATACATAGTTTATGGAAGCTGTGCTCCATGGAGGTCAAAGCAGACAACAGACCCTCTTCCCTTCTCCCTTCCCTCTTTTTTCTGTCACCACTGCCCTGTATCCCAACCAACTCTCTGTTTTGACTAGAGTCCAGAGTGCCTCAGCCTTTAATGTGCATGGGAATCACCTGGAGAACTTGTTAAACCAGATTCCTAGACCCCAGCCCCCAGATATTCTAATTCAGTAGGATTAGGGTGGAACCTAATAATTTGCATGTCTCAGTTGATACTGCAACTGATGACAGTTTGGGGCTACATTTTGTATCCCTGGGCTATTGTGCCAACTGCCTATAACTGAGGGAAACATGATAATGAAGCTGTTGGTTCCTTGGGATGGGGAGGGACGGAGAGAATGTAGGGGTGCTTATCTAACTCACTACTTCTAATGAAGTCTGTATAACAAAACCACCTTTTCCCTTTCACAGAAGCAAATCCAGAGAAATTCAACAGTCGATTTCGAAATAAAATGTTCTATGCAGGGGTAAGTATACATTTCATTTTTCACATTTCATTTTCAATGATTACATGTGATTTATACTAATTTACTGATGGTAATAAAGATGCTAATATTACTATGCTAATAATTACATACACATCACAGATGTTTACATGTGTGTTTATGTGTGTGTGTGTGCTCAGTCATGTCCAACCCTTTGCAACCCCATGAACTGTAGCCTGCCAGGCTCCTCTGCCCTTGGGATTCTCCAGGCAAGAATACTGAATAGGTTGCCATTTCCTTCTCTAGGGTATCTTCCCAACCTAGGGATCGAACCCAGGTCTCCTGCATTGCAGGCAGATTTTCTACCACTGCACCACCTGGGAAGTCCTGTGTGTATATATAGTTAATGCTTAATGTGTTGGTTGAAGAATAAAAGTAAGGATATGTTTCTTAAGTTGGTTGGCAGAGAGTTCATTATCTTTGGTCTTTAAAGCCCAGACATTGAGTGGGAATGATATTCAAGAAGTGGTGTGAAAAACGAACATCAAAGTCAAGCTAGAGAACTGGAAAATATAGGTAGACTGAAAGATGTATGGCAAGTCTTGGGTAAGAATGTAGTTTTCACAAGGGTATGTATCCTATGCATTGACATTTGGATGCAAAATTGAGAGACCATGGGGAGTTTTTCAGGGAAGCATATATGAGATAAAGGGGCACTCTTCTTTTTACTACTTTTTCTCAGGGACATCCCTGGATGTGAATGGCTAGAAAGAAAGAAAGAAAGAAAAAGAGGGCCTCCAAAATACTGATTTTTAAAGTGTGGCTTAAGTTTATAGCACTGGGTAGAGGGAATTGAAGTAAAAAAGAGGTGAAACAAGACAGTCTCCGTGGCTTAAAGATTTTAGCAGCATCTACTGGATAAACAGGAAGGTCAGGAAAGGCCATCAGGTCTCCAAACTGACCCTTGAAATTACCTACATTTTCTCTCTCCTACTTGATCTTAAATTTTATTATAAGTTACATTTTGAAAACAAAGAGAAAGCTTTCAACTTGACAGCCTCTGCACTACATTACTCTAGAGAATTTGTTTTATATTTTGTATTTTTGCATAACTCAGAATTCCTAGGACCTATCTATCACATAGAAGCAGGGCTTTGGCATAACTGTGTAATGAAGCATTTTTTTTTTCTTTCTTTCCTTGTGGTATAGGCAGCTTTTTCTGATTTCCTACAGAGAAGCTCTAGAGATTTATCCAAACATGTTAAAGTTGTCGTAAGTATTGCATGTGTTGACTCATTTCCCTTTGAATGTAAATATCTTGTCCCTAACATAAACCCCAAATACCAGTTTATGTACTTAATCAGTGGGCTGCATAGAACTTGAACTGAATTGAGTGTGGTGTGTTCAGCCAACATTTAGGAGCATTCAGTTATGTGTTGGGCACTGAACAGAGGATGAAGTTAAATAAGATGGATGGATTTTGCTCCTGAAAAAACTCACGGTTCGGTCATGCTGAAGGGTGCCTAACTCATGGCAGAACAATAGAATAAATGTTGCTATTCGACTGTTTGTGTCATATGCTGGTGGCACAAAAGGAGAAATGCAAACTGCCCCCAGTGTGGTCAGAGAAGTCATCAAAGCAAGGGTGTTGAGCTGGGTCTTGAAGTAGAAATAGATATTCACCAAACAACTAGTTTTATTCCCAGGCTATCTGAAAAGTCTTCATTTTAGAAAAATACTTTGATTTTATTATTTTGTGGTCATTTACTCTCTAGCCGGGTCAAGTACCTCACCACTTAGGAGTTTTTTTTGGCTGCTGTTTCTTTCTGAGTCTCTATCCCAAGTTTGGGGGATACTCATCTTGGAGGCAAAGAAGATGGGAAATCATCTTTTCTCTAAGAGATATATTTAAAAATAGCATATCATTAATTATTAAGAAAGATAAAGTGTTTCCTTGAAGTAAACAAGTTGAAAGAGGGAATGAACATGACTTTGTTGCACATATCTGTGTAAGTAAAGTGAAACATGAAAGAGAAAAATATACAGATGAGGAAAAAGAAAGGGGAATACAGCAATGCTTGGATTTATTGTGGAATAGATAAAGAATGGCATTTGTGACAGAAGGGGGTAGGATGAAAGGTATACATGCAAATAGAGAAAAAATATTACCTTAAACTAATGGATTTATAGAGGAATACAGAGGAGCCTAAGATAAATATTCAACTTTTTTGACACCAATAAACCATATAGGAAACACAAATCTTGTAAATAGTTGGAAACAAAGACATTACCACTAATAGCCTTTGACATCACTTTCAGGTGTTTCAGTTCTCATAAAATACTAATGAAAAACTAGTATCCTTTAGTCGTAGCGATTCTTGAAAACTGGAATATTGCCTTTTTAAATCTAGATACGAGAAAGAGACATAGTCCATTAAACTGTGAAGATCTTAATTTTGATAAAATGATGGTTATTTAAGAAGCAGCAACCTTGCCTGAGACTTCTGTTTTCTTCTGTGGCGGCCTGCAAGCAGCCAAAGATAAGCTTTCCTTCTTCTCCCAGTATTTATTGCATTATTGGGAACATTGTAGCACCTACCTGGAGAGCCAGTGAGTGGAGGGCAGTGCCTCTATTGAATGGTGTCCACTGTCTCACTCAGCTGGGTGGAAATTAAAGCCCGAATGTCTCCACACCACCGGAGAGCTTTACTCTCCCATCTGGCAGGCCTCCTGTGAGAAATGTCTCAGGCATGGGTGGCTGTAGGCAGGGATTAAAAAAGGCCTGCAGAGATGCCAAAGTGGCAGCCAGAAACCTAGAAAAGATTTTATATCAGCCAGTAGGTGTAATATTACTGGTGAATTGGTCTGTGTAATCATCTTTTATTTATGAAGAGAAGAAAAAAACAAAACAAAACAGTAGAAATGAAGTCTCAACAATTGGGATTCAGTCCTAGGTCTGTCTTCATGAGGTCTGCCTATATGACTAAAAGCACATGCATTGTGCTGTGACACAGAAATACACAAGGGTGTTTCTACAATTACGTCTCTGAGTGTGAGACCGAAAAGATGGGAAGTCAGAGCAATTAGGTGTACACATAACAGCAGACTGTCTTATCTTTGCCCTGGGGTGAAGTCAGTGTTTCTGATGTTAATAATCTAATCTCACAGAAATACAAAATATGTGCACAAATACTGTATACAGACACACACACATAACACACCCAGAGGATAGTAACAGAAACCTACATATAGCCTTATTTTGTTCTAGTTCACCTGTGTTCTTCTTGTTTCGATTCATCCACATGCGAGCTTGTACACAGGAAGATTTTTTTTGTATGCAAATATTTTCCTTTGTGTGTTTGAAGTAGGGAGACAGTTGAAAACTGTGGTCCTAAAGAGCTGTGAAGTTTAAATGCAATAATATATAGGAAAATTTTGTAAAATATTGTAAGGCACCCATCCTCATAGAATTTGCTGAGTTCCCAGAATCACTATGTTTTTTTCAGGAGGAAAAAGTAGAAAATTTTTAAAAAATTGATTCTGTTCTAAATAAAGTAATATATAAGTATAGGTTTTTTGCTGTAATGCAACAGTGCTGCTTTGCATACTATTAAGGTATCACATGCTGGGTTTTTTTGTGTGTATGTGAAAGTTTTAGTTGCTTACAACACTCAGTTTTGATCATTTAAGACGTCTACATTTTTTCTTCACTGGTAGAGCCATCTATCAATTCAAGTCCTTAAACTGGGAGATCTTATGTGTGTTTAAGATTTTGAAAGTGTTGTGAAAACACCTTCGCTCAATGTCTAGAACTTCATTCTGATCTAAATAACATTTGAGAATATTTTGCTTATTTAGGATTATAAGATTTCCCAGAAACAGTTTTTGAGAATGCTTATGAAAACTAGGCTGCATTAAGATCAGCTGGGAGGAGGAGAATGAGACAACCCTGATGGCTAGCAGAGTCATCGTAACCTGGATTGCAAGTCCCTCTGAAGAAAACTTCAGAAATTTGCAAGGATCTCGGGACTGCTTTAACCCTGTCTCCCAAGGAGAAGACGGGGGTGGGGGCGGGGTACATTCTGTGATGAGGGTGTGAGGAGAGCAGATAAACAACAGGCTTTATACCTTTGACATCAAGAGGCCTAGAGTCCTGACCAAAGTGCTCCTCTTTTGGCATTTGTCCCCAGTGGGAAATGAGCAAGGGAAACAAAAAGCCTTTTCCTTGATCAGTCAGAGGATGCTCTTGAGGAAAGCACTAACCAGTCAGGCAAAGTGAAAGTGCTAGTTGCTCAGTCATGTCTGACTCTACGTGGACTGTGGTCCACCAGGCGGCTCTGTCCATGGAATTCTGCAGGCAAGAATACTGGAGTGGGTAGCCATTCCCTTCTCCAGAGGATCTTCCCAATCCAGGGATGGAACCCAGGTCTCCTGCATTGCAGGCAGATTCTTTACCATCTGAGCTACCAGTGAAGCCCCAGGCAGGTCAGGGAAGCCAAAGGTATTCAGGCCAACAGAGCCTGAGGCCCTTGAAACCCAAAGTCACGCCCAGAACCAATGAAGTGGTTCATCTCAGAAGACCAGTCACAGTCTATAACAGATTACACTGATAGGAGCAAATCACTAATGGAGATAATGCTAATTTATAATAAATAGTTAGGGGGAAAAAAACATGCAGGATATATTCCTTTCAAACTGCTTTCAAAATATTACATTGAACATTTTCCAAAGACAAATTATCTCAAAAAGCAAGGAAAATAAATGGTCATATGCGTGACTATTTTTGAATCAGATGATGGTGGTAGAGGTTACTACTGCCTCATCTTGAGGCTTTGTCCTTTTATTCTTTTAAGTGTTCATAAATCCTTTAAGGATTTACACAGGGAACTATATTCAATATCTTGCAATCCCTGGTGGCTCAGTTGGTAAAGAGTCTGCCTGCAATGCAGGAGACCCGGGTTCAATCCCTGGGTCAGGAAGATCTCCTGGAGAAGAAAATGACAACCCATTTCAGCATTCTTGCCTGGGAAATCCCATGGATGGAGGAGCCTAGTGAGCTACAGTCCGTGGGGTCACAAGATTCAGACACAACTTAGCAACTCAACCTACCTACCTACCTAAATCTTTTAGTGTTGATACTACAAGCCAAAGTATCTAATCACCATCCAAGGTTAAGAATAATGAAAGTTCCTTGGATTGTGAGACCAGAGAAAAACATTTTGGTCAAATGGCAGCTTTGTTTTTACATGAAGTCAAAGCAAAACCAAGCCCTGAACTCTGGAGCTGGGGAAGTTAGAATACATTTTCAGTCATAGTAATGGCCATCCATGTCAGCAGAGACAAGGACAAGGGTTAGACTTTGGTACCTGCCCTTGTCAGCTCAGTTGTCTTGTAGACTTGCACCCGCTTCAAAACCCTTGCTTTTTCTGCTTTGATTGTTGCAGTGTGATGGGACTGATCTTACCCCAAAGATCCAGGAACTGAAGTTCCAGTGTATAGTATTTTTAAATATACCCAGGTAAGCCCTGTTCTTATTGTTTTCCTTGGTTTGATGTGAGCCCTGTTTGACCTAAGGTTCTCTGCTTTCATGATGGAAAATTTCCAGGTACAAATGATGAAAATAGTTACTTTAATGACTTATTAAGAGTCTCCAGGCCTGATAATTTTTTCTCCTGCTTGCTTTGTTTAATGTTCTCTGTGCTATTTTTTCATGTATGTGGTATAGCATGCATGGTGTATACTTACCCATCCTTAAGAAGCCCAGGCAGCCCTCTGAGCTGAGACATTTTAATGTAATTCTCAATTACTGACCCCTCCCACCCTGTCACCCTCCCCAGGAATGATGGACTTGAATAAATACGTGTTCTTAGTTTCCCAAAAGCTATTAGGAAACCTTCCAGCCTGATTTCAGCATGGAATTCATTCAAAATCGTTGCCAGATGATTGCTTTGAAAAAATAGGATCAATTAGAGCAGCATTTTCTAGCCAGAATATCAACTTTCTTTGGTGCTATTATATACCTCAGGAGAAAGGGGTATTTAAGATTAACTAGTCTCAAAATAAGCACATTTCTCAGTGGGCTTAAATTTAGATTCTAGGCTCCAAAGCCAAGATTTTGAAAGGGATGGATCTCTGACTCTTGTTTGCAAACCAGACAACTCAGACACAAAAATCCACAAGTAAGTTCTATTTAGACTGAATTTGGTTGAAATGAGAAGTGTATGTAAATCTATGTCTGGGGAAGCATAGTCTCCTGATGACTTTTGGCCATCCAAGGTTAAGAATAATGAAAGTTCCTTGGATTGTGAGACCAGAGAAAAACATTTTGGTCAAATGGCAGCTTTGTTTTTACATGAAGTCAAAGCAAAACCAAGCCCTGAACTCTGGAGCTGGGGAAGTTAGAATACATTTTCAGTCATAGTAATGGCCATCCATGTCAGCAGAGACAAGGACAAGGGTTAGACTTTGGTACCTGCCCTTGTCAGCTCAGTTGTCTTGTAGACTTGCACCCGCTTCAAAACCCTTGCTTTTTCTGCTTTGATTGTTGCAGTGTGATGGGACTGATCTTACCCCAAAGATCCAGGAACTGAAGTTCCAGTGTATAGTATTTTTAAATATACCCAGGTAAGCCCTGTTCTTATTGTTTTCCTTGGTTTGATGTGAACCCTGTTTGACCTAAGGTTCTCTGCTTTCATGATGGAAAATTTCCAGGTACAAACGATGAAAATAGTTACTTTAATGACTTATTAAGAGTCTCCAGGCCTGATAATTTTTTCTCCTGCTTGCTTTGTTTAATGTTCTCTGTGCTATTTTTTCATGTATGTGGTATAGCATGCATGGTGTATACTTACCCATCCTTAAGAAACCCAGGCAGCCCTCTGAGCTGAGACATTTTAATGTAATTCTCAATTACTGACCCCTCCCACCCTGTCACCCTCCCCAGGAATGATGGACTTGAATAAATACGTGTTCTTAGTTTCCTAAAAGCTATTAGGAAACCTTCCAGCCTGATTTCAGCATGGAATTCATTCAAAATCATTGCCAGATGATTGCTTTGAAAAAATAGGATCAATTAGAGCAGCATTTTCTAGCCAGAATATCGACTTTCTTTGGTGCTATTATATACCTCAGGAGAAAGGGGTATTTAAGATTAACTAGTCTCAAAATAAGCACATTTCTCAGTGGGCTTAAATTTAGATTCTAGGCTCCAAAGCCAAGATTTTGAAAGGGATGGATCTCTGACTCTTGTTTGCAAACCAGACAACTCAGACACAAAAATCCACAAGTAAGTTCTATTTAGACTGAATTTGGTTGAAATGAGAAGTGTATGTAAATCTATGTCTGGGGAAGCATAGTCTCCTGATGACTTTTGGCCGTGCTAGGTTTAGCCCCTTACAACCTATTCCAGAAGTATTTTCATCTTAGTCGTTGAAGTAGGGGGCCTAGACTCTTAGGAAACATTGTTTGTTAGCTTGCTTTAATTTTCTTTTCTTCTCCTCATTCTTCTTCTTGCTCCTTCCCATCTCCCCTCTGGACTTCGTTTATTCTACTTTTCAGTTTCCCTGACTTCCCCTTCCCTTTCTGATCTCACATCTTTGTCTCATCCCTTTTTCACCCCTCTGTCTTCAGTTACTGTTCCCCCATCCTGGGGTACTCATTGTCTTAGTTATGTATTTAGTGCTGAGGCTTACCCACCTCGATTCTCTTTTCCTCTCTTACTGGCATGTATATGTCTTCCTCCAAGACCAAATTCTGGAACCACCTATTGATAACTCATGGAATGTCATGGAAAGTAGGCCTATGTGAATTATAGAGTAAGATGCACACACACACACACACACACACTACTGACACTGTGTATAAAGCAGATAACTAATGAGAACCTCCTGTATACCGCAGGGGGCTCTACTGGAAGCTCTGTGGTGACCTTAATGGGAAGAAAGTCGAAAAAGAGGGGATTGCCACTGTTGTTCATCACTCAGTCGTGTCTGACTCTTTGTGACCCCATGGTCTGCAGCACGCCAGGCTTCCCTTTCCTTCGCCATCTCCCAGAGCTTGCTCAAACTCAAGTCCATCGAGTCAGTGATGCCATCCAGCCATCCCATCCTCTTGTCACCCCCTTCTCCTCCTGCCTTTAATCTTTCCCAGCATCAGGGTCTTTTCTTATGAGTCGACTCTTCCCATCAGGTGGCCAAAGTATTGGCGCTTCAGCGTCAGTCCTTTTTATGAGTATTCAGGATTGATTTTCTTGGGATTGACTGGTTTGATCTCTGAAGTCCAAGGGAAGAAAAGAGGGGATGGATGTATACTATCGATGATTCTCTTTCTGTACGGTAGAAAGTAGCACAACATTGTAAATCAACTATACTCCAATACAAATTTTAAAAAAAGTTGATAAATAATGAATTAGTAGAAAGTTGGACACCATGGAATGCTTTTGTTGTCGAATTTTGACCCATTATCATAAATTGATACTTGGAGGAGTAGGGGATAAGCCCATTTTCTATGTGGAGACATGAACCAAGAGTAGAAAGCTGTTCTTTTGTGAAATCAACATCAAATCGAGCTATAAATTAGTACCTGATGATGATCACGAGAGGACTGGCACAAACTCTAATTCTGATTTTACTCTTCTCTTGCAGATATTGTGCTGGCACAATGCCCTGGGGGAACCCAGGAGATCACCATGACTTTGAACCTCAGCGTCATGATGATGGTTATATTGAAGTCATTGGATTCACCATGGCATCTTTGGTGAGCAATACATCTGTTTTATTGAAGCAAAATGCGTTTTAGTCACAGTGAGAGTTTATTCCTTTTACAAGATTTTGGTATAATGTTGTCTCCTGGCTTATCAATTTATGAACTGTATGCAATGTAGAGTTGCTAGGGGAAGCCAAAAACAAAGTCATTCTTTGTGTCACTAAAAACAGTTGATGCATATTTGCTTGAACTTCAAAGGTAAATGAATATTATTTGTTGCTTTTCCTGATATTTTCTATCAGAATGAAATCCAAAGTTTTTATGTTAATTACATAGCATTATGCCACAAACATATCCCAACATTGATGTAGAAACCTTGCCATTTGATACTTTGCTGGTTCATGGAGGATTCAAGTTTAGATAAAAAAGAACATGGTCATTTGCATTCATCTCCATTTTGCCCACTTAAGCATAAGATGGGCATCTCCATTATCATGGAATATCTGAATATAGAAAGACTTCTTATGACATTAATGAATATTCACTTGCCAGTATTGAGATCACCTTGCATTTTAATTTTGGTTCCTGGCATTAGACAAGTAAGTGTATAATATAAGGTCAGTCAACAAGCAGGTTTTAGCCTCGTGTTTTAACTTATTATTGAATGATAAAGAAACTAATTAAAAGTTTTACTTATCATTTTATCAGATATAGATCAGCTGTACTATCAGTTTGTAAAGCAAATGAAAATAAAGCTTCTTCTTGTACTTGGCTAGCACATAGTTCGTGCTGTTATATCTCAAGGTTAGAAGGTTATATTTCTTGTTCTAAACAACCTAAAACAACTCTCTCTTTCATCCATCTCATGGATTTCATCCATCTCATGGACTTTTCCTCCATCACCTTGAATTGGTGAGATTTAACAGAATAAACTCTTGTGATTATGAAAAGAATGTCCATCTCCTGAGATGGTGATGTTGCTCATTACATTTGATGTGTCTAGAGTGAAATGGTCATTAAGTGTAAAAGATTGGTTTGGGAATGATCTAATTTTCAAGATCATACATAGCTCATATATAACTCTTTCTCTCCAAAAGTCTTTATGTTAATTATAGATAATGACTCAGCCAAGAACAAATAGGAATAAGTCCAGGTAGGGTATGTGCAAGGAAGAATGTTTGGAGGTGCCTGAGAAAGTCGCAAACCTGGTCATGTGTTATTTTGCTCATTCATTTATTCACTAATCCAGTGAAAATGTATTGAATTTTTGCCATGAGAGTTTCTTAGTTCTGGCTGAGCTGTAGAAGGCTGTCAAGGAATGGCTAAAAGAAGATGATCCCTTACCTAGGCCTGTGAGGGCAGGGAGAATATGAGACACTTTCCCATTACTCTTAATATCACAAACTAAATCTTTACTGCAAAATTGAGTTTCTTTCCAAATCTCCATCCTTTACCACTGCCCTCTGTGCTTTTAGCTTGTTGCCTTTCAGGTCAACTATAGCACTGGACGTCCTTTGCTTCTCTGTACCACAGGACCATTGCATATGCTGCGTATCTCAAACGTTCTTTACCTCTTCATCTTATATAACTTTTCAGTCTATATCTGTGTTAGGTTCTTTTTAGAAGTCTTTCTTTGGTTTGGGTTGTTTCTGTTTACAGTTATATAGTTAAAGTCTGAACATGAAGGAGAAGGCAGAGTGAAACTGGTAATTAGTGAAGAATTTAATGGATGGACTCTTTACAAATAATGCACTAGGTTTATGAGAAGCGACAATGGAGGGTGGGGTATTCCTGAGCTGAAGATGCAAAGGCAAGGAAGCAATCAGCTGTACCAGGAAAAGGATGACTTAGGAAGGGCCACCTGGTAGGAGTAGTGTTGAAGTGAAAGCAGTCATCCTGTGCCAGCCTGGCAGGGAGAGAGCCAGAGACATCAGTACAGTTCTTGCTCTCCAGCCATTAAACAGTCTAACTGGGTCAGTTTCACAGGGCAGGGAAGAGGGCAGGGAAGGGGTGGAGCATCTGTCAGGTGGGAATGGCAGGTGGCTGGTATCCATCAGTCTAGTGTATCACTGATCCACAGCAGAGAACCTGAGACTTGTAATTGGCAATAAGAAATGTGACAGGATGAATGAATTTTGCCAGGTGAAGAAGAATGGGGCTTGGCATTCTTGACAAAAGGAAATGTATAGATGCTTGTTAGTCTGGGAGATCGCAGTCTTCTGTGCAGACTACAGTCAGTTTTATGTAGCTTAAAAATAGGTGAAAAGCAAAAGTGATGCAGATGGTCCTGGAGAGGCAGGCAGGGGTGATATCGCAAAGTGCATTAGAGAATTTACCTAGGAGTTGTGACTTTGGGGCATCAGTAAAATGTGTTTTCAAAATAAATATTTGTTATGGGAAATGTTCACTGGAGAAACTGATAGCACATTGAACTCTCATTCCCTATCACCTAGCCTCATGCATGCGTGCATGGAGATTCGCTTCAGTCATGTCCGACTCTGTGACCATATGGACTGTAGCCCTCCAGGCTCCTTTGCCCATGGGCTTCTCCAGGCAAGAATACTGGAATGGGTTGCCGTGCCCTTCTCCAGGGGCTCTTCCCGCCCCAGGAATCGAGCCAGTGTCTCTTATGTCTCCTGCGTTGGCAGGTGACACTTAACCTATTATCAGTTTATGTGCAGTCTTATTTCTGTCTCCAACTATGGTCTCTTCTCTTACATTATTTTGAAGTAAATCTAAGACATTATATAATTTTACCTGTAAATATTTCTGAATTTTTTTTAAAAATAAGACTTCTTTTATGAATACAATCATGCCATCTCAAAAACAATAGCATCTTAATATTACTAACTATCTACTCAGTGCTCAATTTCTAATTGTCTTGCAGATGTCATTTATTTTCTCTTGCTCGTTCGTTTTCATCTGGATTCAAATAAAATACATTTGTGGTGATTAGTTGTTATGACTCTTAAGTCTTTGTAGTGCACATCTCTCTCTTTTCTTTTTTTCTTCATTTATCTATTAAAGAGACCATGCTATTTGTCCTGTGAAGTTTCCCTGAGTCTGAACTGTACTGATAATGTCCACAGGGTCTCAATAATGTGCTCTTCTCTTTTACCTGTTTTCGCTAAGTTGATAGTTGGATATAGATTCATCAGACGCATATTTCTCCACATCTCTTTTGTAAGTAATGTTTTATTTTTCCAAAGGAGAGTATGTAATGTCTGATTCTCTTTCTCTCTCTTTCTCTCTGTCTCGATAATAGTCTTTGATGATCAATGTCAGGATCCAGGAATCATCAGGGATTGCACAGCAGTGATATTCTGACTCTTTTCTTCATTTGTTAACTGGGGTGTTTCTATAAGGAGGAGGTTTTCCTACACCTACTGCTTGGTTGGGGGCTTCCCTGGTGGCTCAGTGGTTAAGAATCTGCCTGTCAATGCAGGGGATACAGATTTGATCCCAAATCTAGGAAGATCTCACATACCTCAGAGCAGCTAAGCCCATGTGCCACAGCTTTTGGGGTTTCCCAGGTGGCCGAGTGGTAAAGAATCCTCCTGCTAATAAAGGAGACACAAGAAATGTGAGTTCGCTCCTTGGCTGGGGAAGATCTCCTAGAGTAGGAAGTGGCAACCTGCTCCAGTATTCTTGCCTGAAAAATTCCACGGACAGAAGAGTCTAGCAGTCTCCAGTTGATGGGGTCGCAAGAGTTGGAGATGACTGAGCACACTCTTTGATTACCAAGTTATACAGTTTGTTTCAGAGAAGCAGGACAAGTGAGTCTTTTATTTATATATTTTCAAAGTAATTTAGTTCATTAGTGTCCTTTGGTGACTGTGGGTTTAAAGTGGCATCAGATTTTGGGGATTTCTCCCATTGGGGGTTTAAGTCTGTATAACCTCCCCTTGACTCTATGTGGGCTTACAAATACTTGGCGAATAGAGTACAGTGGAATTGATGCTATGTAACTTCTGAGGTTGGATCATTAAAGGCCAGGCAGCATTTGGGAAATATGGGCAATATGTATTGGTCTCTAATTAACAGGGATTTTGTAAATGCAAGGCAATACTTATTTAAAATATCTCACTGCTTTCATTCATTTAGTGTCACTCATAAATGTTTATTGACTAGTTGTTGAAACCACAAATAATTATTGAATCCATAAATGACACTTGCTAGATAAAACAGGTACAAAATGAACAAATAGAAAAGCAGTGTCCTCAGGGTGCTTGTAGTCCAGTGTTGGGAGGGAGGTGAGGAAGGAAATGGGCAATCACAGACTGAGGTAATAAATTCTGGGGGAAAGGGATGTGGCATAAGGATAGAAAGGAGAACTGTGTTTACAGATTGGAGTCTTTATGGGTGAGATTGCCAAGTGGCCACTCCCATAGAGGCGTCAGCTTAAGGGAACATGGAAACCAGAAGGACCAGTGGTGGCTCAGAGCGGTGATGTAGATGGTGAATGAAGGGCAGAAAGAGTTAGATATCTTTTTTTAAATTCGTTGTTTTAACTGTTATGGGGAGTTTTTAACTGATGGCATGAGACAGGATTGGATTAGTTTCTCAGAAAAGTTATCTGGATGTCAGTGTGAAAGTGACAAGAATCTCCACTTCTGGGGACAGATGGACAAATCAGGATGTTGGTACCAAAGTCCAGATGAGAATGTCTGAAAGCCTGAATAAAGAAAGTGATGATAAAGACATAAGGGGTTGATGAATGGATAGGGACTTATCTTGAGGGTGAGAAAGGGGTGGGTGGCCAGCGTAGGCCATTGAGTAAAGGTGACAATATTATATGAGAGAGAAAATATAAGAGAAGGATAAAAGTGTCAAAAATGAACTCTGTTTCATGTAAGTTAAAATTGAAATCCCTGTGAGACCTCTAAGAAGATATAGAAATGTGCAGTTTGAAATGTACACTTGGAACTCAGGAAAACTCACTAGGTTGGGAGCAAGTGTTTAATATTCTATCTCTATCTTTATTTATCTTTCTATCTATCTCTCCCATCCTGTCATGAGTAGGTAAAGGAGAAAAATAATAGATCAGAGTT